GACTCCACACTCTGCTAGAGAGTCACAATCAAACACTGGCTGTAAAAAGTATCCAACCGTACGCAGATATGCCTGCCCTTCTCTTTGACCCTTTCAGATAAACAAACAGCTGAAACTGTCACTTGGTATACAGCAAATAATAGGGGCATACATATAGTAGGGAAAGCCCCACTTTCCCTACTGTAGATAGTAGGGAAATATATATATATATATATATATAAAAAAAAATTTAGAATTTTTATTTTATATTTTATTGATATATTATATAATAAACATTATATATGTTATAGCACTGCAAAAGCGTTGCAGTAAAGTTGCAGTAGCTTATGTTCCCTTTACTTGTTTTCATCTTCCATTTAATTTTATCATTTGTTACTGTCTCTGCATAACAACTTTCCCAGTGGAACTGTAAGCCCTGCAATACCATATGCATGCCTATTGGGAAAAGATTTTCTTTTTTGCTTTATATGGACTCTTAGAAATAATTATGCACTAAAGGGTGGAAAATGACTGTATTGGCATTGTCCTTCATCCAATAAGAAGGTATCCAACAAAGTATCGATGGAAGTGCTTGACTTTGCTGACTATGCTATGTTGATTGAACTATTTAGCAAATTGTTAATCTATATGATGAAAATAAATAGCTGGTAAATGTACAGCGTCTCGTCAATATCTTCTTTTTAAAAATGAATTTGCTGCATGTACTGGAATGGGATCTATCCTATAAAAGCTGATCGATATTGTTGCAGAACCTAGTAACAACTTCAGCATTTCCAGCTCCTCCACCACAAATACATGAGGGTACAACTTTTTTGACTGGAAAGTTACACGAAATATAGTTACTCCCCGACTCTGATGGGTGGTGCTGAGTGGCTGGCAGGCAGGCGGTGGTGGTGAGGATGAGGACTGACTGTCCGTAGCAGCTGTCTGTGGAATTGTGGTGGTTGTGTTAGCAGAGGTCAGGTTCCTTCCTGGAACTGGGGGAGGACAGAAAGGTGCCCATGGTCACTGTGCCAGAGCACCTCCAGGTAACGTAAAGGTAAAACTGTCTGCATCTCTTGTGTTCTTACACCACTGCCAGAATTATACTGAGAGTGTGAAATTGTGAATCCCTTCCTAGAAGGTGCTATGTTGAAAGAGTATAAGTCAATTTTTCAGTGACTACTTTCAGTAGTTTCTCTTATCATATGCTTTGCCTGATGTGGTGTGTACCTAGGTATTGTGAGATGCCGGGAGCATATAACAGTGGTGACAGAATAGTCCATTTGAGCAGCTGACAGCAATAAGTACTGGGAAGTCATTGGAAGCCACTGGTGACTTGATGAGGTAAATCTAGAGTAACTGAGAAAAGGATCTAGCATTATTTCTTTGCAAAAGTTAAGTGCTTTCCGAACATGGCCTTTGATCATAAACTGAAATGCAAACGCTTTAATTAAGGGCAAGCACAAAAGTTTCAGTAATAATAATGATTCAGTCTTCTGAACTTTGACCATGTGCGTGGATGTGGCTTAGGCTGCCATGAATGACTGAAAGAAATGTTCTTTTTAATCATATAGAGCTGCCTTATACTAAAGGACAGTTAATTAAAGCTGAATTTAGCATTTATGCCTAGAGAAATTTGACACTTGGATATGTCTGTGATAAATGCACTAGAAAGTGTAAGGATAGTTACTCATTGCATATTGTTCTGTATGAATTTTAAAGAAAACAGAATGTATCATGAGTATCCACTCCAGTGCACTAATGTTCTTCCTGGTACAACAAGCTGTGGTGTATACAAGATAGCTGTATTATTTTACAAACTAAATCGCTGGAATGAATAGTCATCATAAACATTTTGCATTTGACCTAGGTTACAAGCTGTCTGTCTGTCTTACTTTTCTGATCTCTTCGTACATCTTTTGTCTGGGAAGGTAAGGCTGTAATGTGTGTTACTCCAGGGAAGTTCAGTCTTACCCGCAATTCTGAATAAACTCACCATTCAGAGGTTTGCCTTTTGCTCAGGAAAACTTAGAGCAAATTGTGAGAAAACTGAAATTCTAACAGAATAATGGATGCTTGAGGTTAAAATCTGCCTTTTTGTTTGCATTTATATTTTGTAGTTGTTTTAGAATACTACTGGGGCCATTAGGCAAAAGTTGGTTTATGACAAGGTTTTAAAAAGTACAGCAGTTTTTTTAATCAGGTAATGTACTGGGACAATATTTGCTCTTTCAAATGCGTTGTATTTCTCTCTTTTTTTATTTCCTTTTTTTTTTTCCTCTTTCATTTTGTGGATTGGGACTAGAGCTGAGTTCTTGTGTTTTATATTTGGTTGTGAACTGTCTGACTTTGTAATGATGCTTGCCTGGGCCTATGTGGACATCTGACAATGGGACTGATAACTGCAGTATTCTGAGAGTTTAAGCATGTTTGGGAACTCAACCAATAGACAGCATGAAAGGGACCAGACTACAGCTCCCATATATGCATTTACATACACATATACAACTTCTCTTTTTAATCAATATTTTAAAACTGTTTCTGAAAAAAAAAAAATTGCACACACTTGCATCAAAAAAATCCAGTTTCCTTTCAAAAGAACTACATTTCAGAGAGAAGAGAGGCACAGTCGAATGCCAGTCCCACCGAATGCAGTATTTATATACATTTGGCTGTATGACTACTGGTTATGAAGTAGTTAAAACCACATGAAAACAAACAAACAAACAAAATATGTAGCTGAATAAAGAAGTATTTTAGAACTGAAAACTGAAGTCTGTGGATACTTCTCCTTTCATTGTGACACTAATGAAATTGAACTTGGAACTGCAAACAAGCAACAGAATTTTTTCCCTTATTTAACTCCATTTGGAATTACAAATTGTTTTTGTTACATGGAAGGCTGGTACTGTAGGTTTGTCAGGTTTTGGCATCCCTTTCCACTTCGTTGCTGGGTCAGAAAAATAGAAATATGTTCTCCTGAATTGAGACTTTATCCAGCAAAGAAAGGAATGAATATTCTATGATTCTAAGTGTATGTTTGATTCCATTGATTTCAATAATCATAAAAGATACTTGGGCTTCCTCTTGCTTTAAAGCACAGCTTAGTATCATGGAAAAACAATTACATGTGTTTTTAAAATACTTGCTGAACTGCTTCTGGGTTACAAATGCATCCTCCTATAAATCAATGATGAAGAGGAAGGGTAATTCTTAAATTATTTGTTCATGTTTCTTGAATAAATATCCATAATAATTTAGAAAATGGCAATACCTTACTTCCATGTTGGGCCAGATGTTACCTGTTTGAGGCTAGCATGTAGACCAGCTTTTTAGCATCTTAAAATGACATTGAATTTTTGGCCTGGCATTGATACCCCTTCTTTCTTTTAAGAAACAAATCTGCTGTAAGTTATTTCCCCCATTTCCCCAGCCCCCAAAAGGGTAAGACAGGTATCACCAACAAGGAAATATCAGTAATTTTATTTTAATTTGTGACTTGAAGTATTTATAGGTAAATTCTAGATACAAATTTTGTGTTAAAAATTTTGTACTAGTATTCTGTAGAAAGCCAAATGCCTCAGAGTTGCTACTGTTCTATTAGTGGAAAAAATCCAAATGTAAAATTACATCCAAATGAGGACTCCCACAGATTTCTAAAGTATGTTGGCCTTCATTAAATTAATTATAGTATTTCTTTCCTGTAGTCAGACTTTTGTGGGAGAAAAAATTGTTCTCGCTGTAGAGAATCAAGGGATAAGAGCTGACTGAGAAAAGCTGTGGTTCTACTTTGTCATGTCTCTGTGGTAGATTTTTGGTTGGCCCATTCTAACAACATGTTGTATTTAGCATAACAGACAAGTAACATTCTCTTTGTTTTAAAGGAGGGTTTTCTTTTTGTATAGTAAGTTGCAGCTAGAATAAAAGAATTGAGGGACACATTTGAGGGACACATTTGAGGGCATGGGGCAAAAATGAGTCTTTTGATGACAGATTTGCAAAATGAGTTGGAGTTTTACTTTGAAATCAAGCCAAAAGATTGTCCTTGGGGGGCCGTGCTGTAAATGGATATCTGTTATTTAGGCTAGGTAATTGAACAGATGCGAATGCTCAGTACATGCCTCCCTTGTGCGTTGCTGAAGCTGGCATCCTTCTCCCAGCAAGCTGATCCAATGGGCTGGTTTGGTTCAGGCAGACCATGTTAGAGGGGTGTTACAGAGGCTTTCTTACACTTTTTCTGTCTCATTTTTACTCTTTAATCAGTTGTCTGTTCTCAACCAACATTCAACAGTAAATTATATAGACACTAAATCGTGCTCCCCCCCCCAACCTGTACTGTATTGTGGGAAATACAGAAGTAAGAGGAATTCAGGTTGTCCCATAGCTTTTCTTGTGAAATGAAAGTAACTGTGTGCAACAGCAGGTCCACCCTACAGAAAACACAGGGACAACTAGAGGTCCCATGTAGGGGAGAATACAGGGACTTTCCTACAAATATCTGTCACCTCAAAGGTGCTCAGGAAGTGGTAGGAGGAGACAGGGCCATACGTTGTGTGAGATGGGGGATCAGGATGTCTGCTGCGGATCAGCTGGCAAAGGCAAATACTTCTTTGGAGAAAATACTTCTTAATGTACTATGTTCTTTCATTTGTGGTTGAAAAGTTTGGTCCCAGATAACAGCTCTAGATGAAGAATTCTGGCATTCAAGTTAGAGCCGAAGAGTCTGATTTTAGGAAACGAACAACTGAGCACAGCCTTTCCCCCTTTAGAGAATCAGCAAAGTTCAGAATGATAAACGGGTAGTGGTGAGAGACTTTCTCCACAGGAACCAGAAGATGTTGTGCTTAAGTTATTAGTTGTTATTAAATTATATAGATCTCCCTTTAAATTTATCTCCAACATGTAGAAAGTATGAGGGAAAAAAACACGAACACTTCTCCCATTCTTTTTGGAAAGTAACAACAAAAAAGTAATGTTTCTTTTCCCTTTTTTTCTTCTTCTTTTTCTTTCTCTCTCAGGTCCGCACCAGTGTCCTACCTGATCACAAGGAACCAAGAGCAGATGTTGGAGTAAGCAATTTTTATTCATTAATTGATTTTTTTTTTTTTTTTTCACCTCATCAGCAGGCACAGACACCCAATGAAGAGAAATGGTGTTCTGCCTAACTGCTAAACAGGAGCTGGGTTAAATGAATAAAAAATCAAGGCAGGAGTAATAGTCTCAGTGACTGATGTAATCCCAGTCACATATTTCTTGAAAATCCTTTTCAACTGAAAATATCCTGAGGCAAGCACAACTATCTAGACTTCCTGCTACTGCCATACAAGCAGTCTGGATGAGATTGAGAGCTTGGAACCGTACTGCCTCAATGAGCCTGGCCTGTCGCCTTCTGGTTTTGCTGTGCAGAGCATAAAATGTTCTGCTGTAGGATTTGACTTTGGGTTCACTTTAAGAAATTACACTGGTGACAAATGGAGGACTTATTTTTCTGTGTAGGTCTATAGAACTTTTGGCAAAGATACTGGGATGTCATTTCTGGGTGTGACAAGGCTAGAATCTCCCAGATAATATGGACATCTCATGGGAGTGGGAAATGTTGGTCCTGCTAGAGCTGAATAAAAGACCAAACACCATCTGGTGCAGGTATCAGACCTATGTATGCAAATATTTAAAATAACTGGATTTTAAAATTTTTAGCCTAAAGTGTTGACTTTCCTGCATTACCAGGGCTTCCTTGGCATAGTTTCCAGGACTTTAGCTAGTGTTTGAAAAAATCTGCAGTTTGGCAGCAAATTCAGTCTTGGTGAAATAATCAATGTGTTTCAACTTTTCATATGGCTATTATAGAGACTTTTCTCTTTGCCTAGCTGAGATTATTTATCAAACTACTCAAGGCGCATATCTTAAGATTTATAATCGTAAGTAGCCCACTAGCAAAATTATAGAGTAATATCCCTCTGTAATTAGCATTACAGCAGCAGTTCTGTTTAAAGCCTGCTTTTCAAGCCTCTCCAAGTCACGTGCAAAGTTAGATTGGTTTGCAGACTGCCAGTTCAGGCCCCAGGGTAGACTATTTGTATCTAAATCAGTATGAAAAAAGTATTCTGCAGCACTGTTTGAAATTAGACCCCCTGAACATTAGCATAACTTTAATCATTTGGGTCATGGGACCTTCCACAATTTCATTTAATTTTACAAATAACTCTGAACTGCATTGTCAGGCAAAGAAAATCTTACTCTAAATAAGTATAAAAATATGAAACTGACAAATAAGTAGAATTTTTTAAGCCCATAAAATTATTCACCTTTGATTTCATGACCCTGGAGAACTAGATATGACACTCAGAGGTGCTTAGTGGGTACAATTACCAAAGCTCATAGATTGTATAAGAGAGCAGTGTGATTGCTTCTTAGCCCTGATCATGAGGACTCTGACTTAGGGTTCTTAAATGGATTTATAGTTTTATTGTGCTGCAGAAAGAAGCACCGAGTGACCCAACCTATATCAATTTCATTCTAAATATCCCTCTCCCTCTTTCCAAATGGTAAGGATGCAAATACAAGCACTCAAATGCCATGAAATGCCAGAATAAAGGCTGCTATGTAGATGCTGTGCTGTAGAATGTGTTCTTATTGTACCAAGAAAGATATGCTCTTGTAGGAAGATAACTAATCTGAGCTAACCGTGTCACCACAGAGTTTTAGTGAATAAACACTGTCATGTTGACTGATCTAAAGGAAGACAGAACTGTCAGTGTGTTCACTCTAGCAAGGCTGTGCATCACCCTGTGCCACACCTGGACGTATTTCCTTGTGAAAGTACATGTTTCATTTTGGCATTGAAAACTAACCATTATCTTTGCTTATGTGGCCACGGTATTTTTTCTCTATATATTTCCTATAGGCCTCTTTTCTTCCTTATTTCCTGTTCAGCACTTCCCAAATCCACTATTTTCCTAGCCTTCCCTAGACTCTCAGCTTGCATCTTTTTTCCTCTGCTTAAGTGCCAACGAAAGCACAGGAAATCTAAGTCTGTGTCATTGATAGGAATAACCGATGACTTAGTTTACCAAATTGGAGATCAGTGTTGTTGCTTACCTAAATTGAGAATTGTGAGTTGAACTGTACATTTTATATGCAAGAAAACCTATCTTATTGTAGAGCTTTATTGTTAGTGTTCAAACACTCAATATCCAGCTGGCCTTCCTGAAAGAGCACAGGCTGCACAGTTTTTTTACCAGAGGAAGTTACGCTTCTCAGTAGCAACAAATTCTCTCCTCTTTTTCCATGAACAGGAAAGTTGCTCTCTGCATGCAGCCTGTGTTGACTCAGAGCAACTTGATTCTTCTTTAATGTGTATATCCAAGAACTTATATAATTTAGCCTGGAGTTTTACTTTGCCATTCCAACAGTAGAGTAAAATTAGTATAAAGTAATAAAAACAAACTTTGTGTACTTAAAGTTTTCTTGCAAAAATTTAACATAATCTTATGATCTCATTATAATTTATTCAGAGCAAGTGATATTGAGTCGTGTATTTGGAAGATGAATGGATAGAAGATGGCTGTAGTCCATTGTTCCCACGGCAAGAATACTACTGTTGGCCAAGTTGGCCAAATGAGATTTTAGCAATGTGCGGCAGAATATGAGCAGAGGTTAAAAAAATAACCAAAATGCAAAAGATGCATTTATTTTCCTCTGCACTATTTTCCTGATGATGTGTGAAGGTGATTTTGATAGAAGGAAAAGATACAGTGGCATAGCTTAATTTAACTTTAGACGTTCTAGTTTCATTAGCATGTTTCTCTGCACTTGTACTGCAATGAATAGGGCCACCTTACAATGAAAATAACGGAAACAAGTACTTAAAAACACTGCCATAAACTAGAGGAATATAACATTTCCATTAATAAACTTGTGCTGAACTCGGTGTAGAAATACCTTCTTAGAAAGTACATTCATATCTGGAATACATAGATAGTAGTGCCTAAGGGTTGGGGAAAAACCATAGCAAGAACAACTTTTCTAAAACACTGAAAACTTAGCATTTCTCGTAATCTAGAAATTGTAAATAGAGGAAGAAGAAGATGCAAATGCTTGTACTGCACAAAAATTTTCCTGTGGCTGTACATTTTACAACCTGTTATTTTGTCAGGTTGTCAGACTTTTCTTAATGAAAAAGAGAGAGGTTCCTGCCTGTAAAACCAGAGATTAATAATTTACTGATAATCATGCTACAGGTGCATAAAAAATTTCTACTGGATAGTGTGTCAAACTAGTATACTGGAATGTAATATTTTTCTAGGTACCAAAGAAAGATTTCCAAGTATGCAACCAAAAAAAGTAATAATTAAAACTTAAAAAATTAATAGAGATGTTATCTTCTCTTTCTGCTTTGTTTTGTAGCGAAGCTTCCTGGGCTGTACAACTTTTAGAGTAGGAGACTTGGTAAAGTCAAAGGAGCAACAGTTGACCCTTACCCTCAGGTAGGTGTTTTCCTCTGTTGTAAACCATGTTGAATTAATAACCCACAGCATTTCGTGTCCAAAGAAGTGCAGCAAAGCTGGTGAAGCATCTAGAGAAGAAGTCCTGTGAGGAGCAGCTGAGGGAACTGGGGTTGTTTAGCCTGGAGAAAAGGCGGCTGAGGGGAGACCTTATCGCTCTCTACAACTACCTGAAAGGAGGCTGTAGTGAGGTGGGGGTCGGTCTCTTCTCCCAAGTAACAAGCAATAGGATGAGATGAAACGGCCTCAAGTTGTGCCAGGGGAGGTTTAGATTGGATATTAGGAAAAAATTCTTCACTGAAAAGGTTGTCAAGCACTGGAACAGGCTGCCCAGGGAAGTGGTTGAGTCACCATCCCTGGAGGTATTTAAAAGGCATTTAGGTGTGATGCTTAGGGACATGGTTTAGTGGTGGACTTGGCAGTGTTAGGTTAACAGTTGGACTCGATCTTAAAGGTCTTTTCCAACCTAAGTGATTCTACGATTCTATGATTGCTGCTTGACTGTGTTTGAAACTCTGTATTACTTCAGGTATATTAGATGTCAACTTGAAGTGCTTCTATTTCTACCATGCACAAAGTCAAAATTAAATACCAATTCTTTAAGCTGGAGCTTGCCATGTGTCAGATTAGAAAAGTTTAGTGATTTTTTGGTATGATAACCTATGGAAGAATTGCAGGGAACTTGAAGTAAGGGATATTCTTCAAAGTTTCCTTTAAGAAGGAGCATAAGGTTCTCAGTTTCATTTGGTGTGTGTGGTTTAAAGAATTAACACTGTATAGTTTGCTTTTTTGGTTACTAGGCTTATTTAAAGGTGGTGGACCTAATGACTCAAGGCTTCTGTCATGTGAAATTGGTTGCAGTCTCCTAAACTCATTGTTACAGGCAGCCAACCTCAAATGGTGGTGGGAGGGTGATGTGCAACTCTAATTAGTGACACGGGGTACAGATCTGCAGGAGAGTCAGAGCCAGTGTTCAAAAACTAGGGCTGGGCTGAACAGATATTTCTTAAAGCTGTGCACTGAAGAAAAAAATTCACCCCTGATACTGACTTGCATGGCTTAAGATGAATCAAGATACAAATCAAAACTTTTTGAAGGTTAGGGGGAAGCCTTTTAGGTGGTGATTTTCAGAATGAATTAGTGGGACGTTACATAGCACAGGGATTTTGTTGAGCTGATTTTTGCAAGCACAATGGAGGCTTATTTGGGATTAGTGGGGTAGGTACAGGTAAGCCTCACAAAGCCACTGCCCAAACTCACCGTGTTTCTACACAGGCAAAATCTGGGGAGGAAAGAAGCTGTAACTAGGAAAACTGAGACATTGGTATATGTTCTGCCTGCGATATTGTGCATAGGTGCTGTAGAAAAGTTGTGTTACGTTCCTTATGCTGTGCATATGAAGCCAGCCTTGATTTGGCTAAAGGCCCAAATTACGACCCATTCAACGATGCTGTGGTACTGTCACTATGTCAAGGACACTGCATTTTTTTTGGAACGGAAAATTCTTGAAGTATTTTGGTTTTATTACTGCACCTGCCTTCCTATTATAACAACAGTAGTTACATATGTGTGTGTAGTTTACTGGGCAAAGTTAAAAAAATGCTTTGATTTTAATTTCTCGCAAACACAGAAAATGCCGTGCCTAACAAGCAGATAACTTTGTTTTCTAACAAGCAAAACAGATCATATAAAATGTGAACTGACTGTTCTTTATGGAAATGTATGGCTAGATAAACAAATACCAACTTAGTGTTTGTAAGAGTCTGTTCTTACAGAATTTCAAGTTGTCTCAAGTTCTTTGGGACAAACCTTGTCTCTGTGATTGACGTATTGAAAACTTGATCTGAAAGAATGCCTCTGACAGGTGCCATAATAATTGGCAGAATGTAAAGTTTCAGAAAACTGTGAAAAGAATAAGTGCTTTGTATCTAATCCATCTAATTTGTAAACAAAAAGTTCAGATGGATAACTAATAAGGAATAGATGACAGATTGCCAGGTTAGTTTTGGCTGAACCTCTAAGCCTTTTCAGATTTGCTTTTAATTAATATTTTTAATCTTGTATGTCCTCTTTGTGCAGCTAACACTAGAAGACAAATATTATACCAATTCAAATTAATTTGCAGATACATTAAATGGTAGGTTTTAGTTGGTTGGTTGCGTTTTTTTGGTTGTTTTTTTTTTAAGAAAAAAAATCCTAACCTTTTAAATGTGGGATTGTTTCCTGATTATGGATATTCAGCTGCACAAAATCAATAGAAATTCTCCATGTTTCTTCAATGGCAGTTTAACCAGAACAGTCTAGTAATCTAAACTTGCTTTCCTCTAGTTGCCCTATTATATTAGTATCCCTCAGGAGGATAGGGGATATACCAAGGGCCTTGTCAGAGCATGCAATTCTATTTAATTCTTGTTGATACACTTTGGGTGGAAGTTTACCAGGGAGTGCCTGTGATTGAGATATTCCTTTGTTAGATCTGAAGTAGAGATTAAAGGATCCAGAAATAGCTCTGTGGTGTGCCCTGTAAATATTGGAGTAATTATAGAATCTGGTTACTTTTTCACTGTTTTTTTCAGTTGTTATGTCTTGCAATTGTCTTTCTTAGGTACAATGTAACGATATAAAGTGTTCTTAAAGGAATATACTAGTATTTTTCTCAGTTGTGGAGGGGTGGCATACATCTACAATTCCTTACTGTTGACAAACTATGCTCTATTTTTTCCCTTTCCCTGCCATTATACCTTTAATAGTAATTAGGGACACAAGTTACAAAGCCTCTGCAAAAGAAGTTTTTATTTTGATTGTCCTTTCTTCTCCATAAAGGTCCCCTAAACAGATGGCTGAGTGTTTACTGTTCATGTGTGCACCTATATCTAATCATCAAAACCTGAACGGGTCAATTTGTAGAATTGCTTCAATTCTGACCAAATACACAGCTGATGTTGGCAGAGGAATTTAGTAACTAGAGACTTGGGATTGCAGTTTCCAATATGATATTTATAAAAGTAGAAATGCCTCCTATAGGCTTGAATGTTTCATTTTGTAATGGTAATGCAATGCCACTTGCTTCCAGCTTTCTCATAGGGTTGTGATGATGAACAGGATAAAATGGACTATTGAATAAAACAAAAGCCATATTCAGTAGCAGAAGGTTTCTTAATATTGACTATGTTGCAGTGTACCCAATTTTTTTTAAAAAAAGCAAGCATACATCCTTTTTTCTTTGTAAATAAGAGTTAGGTATGCTGATTGCTGTTTTAGTAATTAATGCTGATTTTTTTTTTTTTTTTTTTTTTAGTTTATTTACATTTTAAGTTCAGTCTAGAGGATCTTTTTGCCAATGCCTTTCTTTTAAGAACACTGTAATGTGTTTCTTTGCTTGGTTGAGGTCTTATGGCCATTTGTAAAGGGCTAGCAATTAGTACTTCCATTAGCTGTTTGCCCTGTTTTCAGGAAGGCCCTCTTTGGCTCGGGTGATTTGGTATGATTTCCAGTAAGTTACATGTAAGAAGCAGCAAAGGAAAAAAGATAATAGTGCTCTTTCGTGCTCTCTGTGAAAATAAGGTCCATCTGTCTGAGATGCTCCTCTTAGTAGACAGTACAAAAGTGTAAGTAGGCTACTTCAATATGAAACTAGGGTAATATCAATACCACTCGGATCCTTTGGCCCCTGTGAGCAGGAACTTGTAGCGATGGAGCTAAGCAGCCAAAAACAAGAACTAGGATATAGTGCATAAATTATACAGATTATCTGAGAGAATGTGCCTGTGGATGTCTGTCAGTCAGGTACTGAATAGACTTTCTTTAAACATGTGGCTGTATTTGACCTCTAGGACAATATCTATCAATCTGCTTGGTTTAGCTGTCTTATTTTCATTAATCTTGGGCAGGACTGAACCTATTTCGTTTAAATAAAGGAAATAAGCCATAGTTATTTTTGGAAAGTTCAAAAAAATAACTCCAAGACTCCATTAAAGAAAGTCTCCCCTACTTCCCTCCCTCCTAACACTGTCTTCCAAGCATCTTGTTCAGTGGGCCAGAAGACACGTAACTGCACTTCAGTAATAGTTACGTTCCCATTGTTTAACTAACTACAGAGAATTTGAAAGTGGCACACTAATTTTTACAGTCATTTATGTACATATAACTTCTTTAGAAAATGATGACTATAAAATACTATATATTTAGCTGCTTTTCCCTATTAAAATTCAGTACAAGTCTGCCCTCAACTAGTTTTACTTGGTCTCCATCCTGAAATTGTTTCTTGGCTGCTTCACGTCATGTCATCCACCCCAGGAAGCAGGTGAACAACAGCCTGGCTTTATAAGCCAGGCAAATCTCCTATACAGTTGAGGTGAAACTTGTTTTGACATGAAGCTTAATCAACAGTACATTGAAATCATGAAAACTGAGAAGGAATTGAACAGTGCAAAACTTTGTTTATTTACCTTAGAATGCAACAGGATGTTATTTATCAGTGGACTTGTTTAAAAATGGTATTGGTTGCAATAGACTCCACTGTGAATTCACAGAATAAACATTTCTATGCAAGTACAATAGTTTTGTGCTTCCATATTTCAAAATATATTGCAGCAGTGGAGAAAATTATTTTATGACAATATGTATGTTAGTCTGTACTAATGGCATTTATTGTGTATTATGCATTGGAGAAAGGGGCTGCTTGCTAGACTGAAAGTCATGCAGTTTGCTTTTCAGGCAGGCAGTTGCTTTGTCATTTATAATTAACATAGCTATGCAAATGCACACTCTGCTTCTCTTTCTTTGTGTTCTTGAGCCCTTTTTTTTTTTTTTTTTTTTTTGAAAAAAAGGTATGGCCATGGGAACCAATTAGTGGGCCTAAATTTGCATATTCAACATGCGGCAATGAAACTTGATGAGAACAGCATTGGAGGCAAATGGCTGCTATTCTCAGTCCATCTAGCTCACTTGCTTTTCCACTGCTAGCTTGTTACCTGCTTTCTCTCCGGATGCCTGGGTCAACCTTTTATCACCAGAAGTATTAAGGTGGGCACATATTCCTGCTGCTCAGGATGGTGCTGACTAGCTCCTTCCCTCTTTGCATTTGAGGGAACTTATACTGATCTGGTGATCCTTAAGGACTTGGGATGGTAAGGAAATCCATACGTATAATAAACTTTAAATTAATATTAGAAGCATTCATAAGTAATTGTGGTTTTAAACCTGAGCAGATTTCATGGCTGCTTCAAAAGTCTTTGGGTTTGGCTCAGCGAGTAGAACAACAATATTGCTTTTAACGTTGATAGAAGGATTTTTTTTTTTTTAATTTCAAAACCTACTGTTTCACTCAATCACCTCTGCAAGGTTCATCAGAAGATGGGTCATTGGTGACTCCAGCTTAGGTGAATGCAGACTGTCACAGGATTATGGCTGTGGTAGGTGGAGTAAGCACTGCAGTATGTAGTCACGTTGGACTAAATGGTTAGGGATAGAGCGAAACATTGCCAGCTTTGCTGCTGAAGCCTGCATCCTATGACACTGGATTCTAAATCTGGTTTAGAAATCACTCTTCTAACACTTTGTCTCCTTTTCATTGGTCATATTGCAAATGCAGATGCTCTGTGGACAGATAGGTGATCGGTGCTCCTTGTCCTAGGCTGCTAAAAAAAAAAAAAATCAGCAATTTTCCAACTCCGTAAGCCAGCTAGAGTTTGAGCCTTATGTGGGCTTCTTCATATCAACGCTTTTTGTTGTTGTTGTTCTTATTGGTGTATTTGCCATGCCCACTGTCCCTGTGCAGGTTTGTCAAGGTGCAATCCTTTGTCCTGTGGGTCTATAGTATCTCTTGTCTCGTGACTGCAAGCAATTTGATGCAGGGACAGTCTTCACTGCACCACGTGAGTGCAGAGTGCGCTTTTCAGCTTTATTAAACTACAGCAAATAAGATGATTCTATCCTAATGCATTATGAAGTACCCTAAAACCAATTAATTATTCTCCTGATGCTCTGTTGAACAGTGTGTATGTGTGAGATTGTCTCTTCCTGTCTGTCCAGGCAAATGGCATGAAGTGTGTACATACGTGTGTGTGTGCACAATACTGTTTCTGTTGGTGCAAAGTAAAATAATATAGATTTTTATTTTATTTAAGTGTGATTGCTAGTGTTTTTATTTATTTTTCCCAATGCATCACTTCTGTTTCTCACTTTTAATTTTCTTTCAAACGAAATTTTAATCTCATGATGTTGTTTGAAAGTTTTAAAAGCATGACATGTCTGTTGTTTGAAGACTCTCATGCACCAGTGGTATTTTAAATTCACAGTGTCTGACACAGCTAATGACAGTTTCTCCCTGGACATTTGTAGTGCTCTTTGTTGATTTATGTGCCTGTAACGTTCAAAAGAAACTGGGTTTTTTTGTTTTTTAAACTGTGTTTTCATATTTCCATGTGGAAAGGAGTACAACTACGATGCAGCAGTCACACTGTTTAGTTTTATTCTGTTTCATTACCTTCTCTTGCAGATACTGCATGTTTCAGGTTGTAATATTACATATGTATTAGATCAGAACAGGAGTGATTTTGAGAAGAAAATAATTGAAAAAATTGATACAAAGTGGAATTAGATTAGTCATATTTTTTAAATGTGTATGGAGGAAGCTTCCAAATACATATTGCTACTTGTGCAGGCAAGCAATGCAGTGATCACTGCCATACTGAGGCCAAGCCTCTAGTAACAGCAATGAGGAGGAATATTTAGTGTTCTAAAGAAAGGGAGACAAGGACTGAGAAAATATAACTGGCATTTCCATTTTTATTTTGTTTGCCTTGTTGGCTTGTATCAGTTCATTTGCAAATTGAGCTGTTTTGCTCGATGTTTGTTTACACTTTTAATTTACCCTGATGTAATTTGAAATCAGATCTGTTTTATGCAAGTCTGTCTCAGACTTGTGGGTCTCTTTGGCCTTAGAAAAATGTGTTCCCTAAAAAAAGGGTGGGCAGGATTTTGCTTCTGGAAGTCAAATGAATGCAACGTTTTCCTTTCAGACCAGGATAACAGCAAAGTGCTGTCACATATTTAAGCCAGCCCAGTAATGAGGTCATCCACTTGACACTTTGATCGGGACACGTTAACCTGTTGAAAAATTTTCAGTCTTACAGCTGCACGTTTACTTTGATTTTTAAAGGTGTATGTGGTTTGCTAACATCTGTTGTATTCCCCTTCTCCTTGGAAATGCTGCAATCCTTTTGTTGAGGTAGGCTGGTTTGCTTGCTCATTTGACACAGGAAGGAGAAAACAAATGAAGTTAAACCACTAAGCTGTACCAACACAGGGGAATCTTCTTCATTCAGAGAAGGCGCTTAAGTTGTTCTCATGCATTTCAAAATTATTATGTATTTTTGCTCATAAACACCCTTTGGACATTGAACCCTTCTTCCTCATTACTTCTCTTTTGTATTCTTTTTTAATTAGCGTAGGCTTCTTTGATTGCAAGGCTAGCTGGAATTGGTTCATTTTAAATTGTTTCTTTATTGTCAGTAATGAGTTTGGCTTAGAGCAAATGAAGTAGTGACACATGTAAAATATGAAGAATTGCGTGTATTTTGCAGGGTTTTATATAAGAACATATTTAACTTATATAGTTGCAAGATGAGTGTATTCTACTGAGTCACGTATTCAAGCATAATGGTTCGCAACCAAAATAATTATTTAAATTTGAGGCTTGGGGGTGGCTATATTTTGAGACTTTACTGTAAAAAATGGTAGTTTTGATTTAGCATGATAAATAAGTATCCATGCCTGAAAAGACTAACGTACGTGCTTAGCTATAGTCAGTGTAAAGAGCTGGCATACTCTGGCTTAATTAAGGCCTTATACTGCATGCAGAAATACAGATGATGAAAAATTGTGGGAGCTCAAAGCAGAGACAGAGCCCTCCCGCCTGGGGCACCAGCAAGCGCTCTGGGAAAGCCTGCGCACGGCAGAAGGCAGCAAGGCAAAGCTGAGCTGGGGCTGCCCTGCCCGAGAGCGGGAGACGTCGGCGCGGTGCTGCTCGGGGGCTCTCAGCACCCGAGAGGCAGCGGGAGTTGGCGCACAGAGCTGTACGGCGCCAACCGGGCCTGGGGGGGTACCTCCGCGTAGTACCGTGCTGGGCACGCGGGTATACCAGGCAGCCGGTGAGCGGGCTGCAGTCTTTCTCCTGGTTGGTGAAATCCCCCTGGTTTGGGGTGCAGGGCGGGGGGTTCCTTCCTTTACCAATATAATGGGAGGACTATTTTTCTGAAGTTCTGGAAGAGTCTCTCTGTTGAAGGGGCTTTTGATGTTTTCCCGCGACGAGGATTGCCTTGGGAAAATGGCAGTTTTTAATGGAAACGCTTTTTTTCTAATATTACTGTTTCTGAAAGTAAGTTTTTCTTTTTTATTGCCAGCCCTCTAGTCCCTCTTCTATGTATTCCTTTGTCCTGCCTCATCACTTCTCATCTTCACTTCTGAGATTATACACAGGATTGCCCCAAACCCATTTGTTTTCATTCTTCTTCCTCTCTGTGCTTTTGCAATTCTGCTAAACTTATTCTCGTCATTTCCTTTTGCCGACTTTTGCTTGGTGGCTGCTGTTATGCTTTCCTCATTATTATTACATGATCTGTTACCCTTCTTTCCTTCCTTTCAAAAAATCCAGCTGTTCAGAATAAGCCAGGGGAGATAGACTGTGTGGTGAATCTTGGTGTTTTGCTACCAGCGAAAGCGGAAAAAAGCATTCAGTGTCTTTTTGGAGTTTAAACCCTTGTTTCTTTCAAAAGCTAGTGAGCAATACTTTTTGTTCGGAGGTGTAAATCTGAATTGCTATTTATCTTGCTTAAATGGAAGTAAACTATTTGCAGAGAAGATAATAAAGGAATTCACCTGGAACTGTTATCTTCTCCTCTATAGTTAAAGAAATGGGGTTGATTCTGAATAATTACTTTGCAAAGGGACTACAAAAGGAAAAGTGAAATTCAGATTAGTTTCATTATTTTGGTTTAGCAGGAGGTTTATTAATATACTGAGCATGTCCTTTCTTCATGTATTATGTTAGGAAACAAAGCAGTGTACTGTGCAGTGAGATTGCGGGTCGTAAGTGGGGTATTGGTGCAATGTTACAGCCCTTTCTCTGGTGGTCCACAGACGGAATAATGTCTAGACTGAAAACTTGGCAGCGTTCATGGATTCTTCTGCCATTTATAGCACTTATCCATCCTCAGTTTTGTGATGAAAACTTTCATTGCTATAAAGAATTTGGAGAAATTACAATATGCATTATTGTTAACATTTGCTTTATGATTGTAAATAACAAGTTCAATACAGGTGACTGTAGCTATACAGAACGGAGAAGGGACTAAATGTTTACTGACAGTATTTTTACTGAAGGACTGTGATGCTGCAAATGACCTGATGTCATGGGGTTTTTTTCTAGGACTTCTGATGGTGGAAAGACAGTTGGTACCATTGAAGTCAATCTTGTGAAGATGGGAGAGCTAGAGGATGAGGAAACGGACCACATCACAACAGACAGCCAGGATCAAAAGGTAGAAACTCAGTTCATTGCACAAGGTTAATTGGAATGATCAGCTGTACCAAATGCCTAAATTACTAATTCCAAATTGGGTTAAGGACTTAATCAAAACTTTCAGGAATAAAATATTACGTACACTTAATCTCCCTAAACTAAAAATAGTTTTTCATGAAAATGTACAGAATAATACTCTATCCTCAGTTTCCTAGTCCCTCCCCTTCTTTAGGAAAAAAAGAGCTGATTTTGACCTCAACTGACCATATTTAATCACTCCTGATCAAAAAGCTGTCCGTAGAGACGCCATAAATCTGACTTCTTTTTCCCTTGGACAGTTCCTCTGTTTTCTGCCCTTGAAGTCCTGTTCACGTGGATTTTTGTGTGCAACCTGTGCCCACAATACTGAAAACTTGGAAAGAATGACAGACAGGCAAGCCGAAGAAGAGGTGAATCCCCTTGCAAAGGGGCAGGTTCAGCTACGTTTCATGGGAGCACACAGTGGCTGGGAATAATCAACGGGAGGGATGGCGCAGCAGTGGTGCCTCAGAGTGCTAGCACAGGACAGTGTTGACCAGAGTGTATGTAGGGATTCGGAGTTGGGGCGCTCATGGTGTGGGACAAGAGGAAGGACAGAAGGGCTCAGAAAGAGCAAAAATGCTCTTAAGTAGGCAGGTTGTTATAGGCAAAAGCAGTGGAGACCAAAGCTGGAGATGATATGGGGGGAGTGGATTTGAGAGGAACAGAGAACCAAAGGAGGGAGGGTGGAATGGATGGGGTGTGTCTATGATGCCAAGAGATTTGGGCTTGGGAGAAATTCAGAAATGACTGCTCAGAGCGAGGAAATCAGGGTTTGAATGATTTGCAGTTAATAAAAAAGATATCTCTAAATGGGTCCCTGGCTGATGGCAACTGACATACCTGTACAGAGTTGCCTCCTCCTGGCATCTCTGCCTCTGCAGTCCCATTCTCACTGACAGAATTTTTGCAGCCCTTATACTATGGTGTACTACTATACACTGTGGTATATTCTGTTCTTAATAAAAAACCCTAATTTTAGATAATGCTACAGGGAACGTAAAGTTAAGGACTGCATTTTTTTGTTTGGAAGTAACATGTAAGAATATATTTTTGGGGAAAAGGGCATTGCTCTGAATACCTTTTCTGCTCAGCCAAAACAGTCTGCTTTTGGGCCAAACTCTGAGGATAGATTTTACACCTTTTTTTTTTTTTTTTTTCCCCCCCATTCTTCTCAAAAGACTTCAATGCCCTTTTAAAACAATGGACCAGTGGGATCAGTTCCAAAGAAGCCAACAAACACTGTGAAATTTTTCTGGCTTTGTACTATAAAACTTCCACGAGATATGCAACATGAACTGTTTTTTTCAGCCTTCTCTTTCATTTTGCTTTTCTTCCATTTCAAAATGTGGAATGAACTTCTCACAATTATTTGAGATGTAATTAATGAGCTGTGTCTAGCTTGGGGGAGCCAGAATTCTTTAAGAGCATTTTTCTAGGGGCTTCTAATAGTTGTCAAGAAAGAACAGCCTTGCGACAGCTGTGTTTTCTGTGGTCTTTGAAGGAGTCCTTAGTTTTTATGGATTAGTTGCATCATGGAGTCTTGGTTTATACGTTCATAGTGAGGATGCAATTGTGAGAATGCGGAGTTACTGAATTACTTCAAAGAACTAAATCCTGAATTAGGTTTGCTAACTCGTTAGATAAACTATGTGCAGGGAATTCCTCATGGAAGAGTAAGGTGACAGTTAAATTCAATCTGAGATATTAACTGGTAGAGAGTACATCACATCTTGGTCTTTGCTTCAAGCTCTGCAACAGAACATCTAGAAACCCGGGAAGCCCTGGGAACATACCTCCCTATCACCTTTAGAGGCTATCTGTGGGGGGGGGTTTCTGACTGGGGGGAGGAGGAGTATTAAAAATATACTTCCTAGTACATTTAACATAGGTTTACACTAGTTGATTTTTTCCATAAACGTTTTATACTTTTATTTTATACACTAAGCTTATAAAAGAAATCTTCCAATTCACTTGTATAACAAATGACTTTAATCACAAACCATGAGCATATTTTTAAAGACTTTTTGTGGTTTCTGCTTTTCCCTTGTTTAAAAATTCATTGAATGCTTTCTGACACTGTGCATGTGAAAACTGCCTTGTCAAAAGAAACCTCTCCGAAAGCACAGAACTTGTCAAAAATTATTTGAACCTCTGCCATTGTACTGGTAGGAAAACTTTCTGGTTTATTATGGAATACCTGATCATATTTTGCAATTTTCTCTGCCGTAATTCTGATTGTGTTACAGTATATTGGAACAGAAATATAAAGAGAAAACTGTAAATTATAATTAATGGTTGGGAAGTTATATTATCAGTTTTTTAGTCTGCCATTTAGAAACTGCTATGAATTTCCTTGTAACACCTGAACGTGTTACATTTGTGATTGCGTTTCTTTTGTAGTGTGCATTGGTTCGTGAATGTACAACCGCTGAAGGCATAAGTGGTAAAGACAACTTGCCTTCATTAAATGCAGGTAAGTATTCTAACATCCATAAAAGATGGCTGTTGCAATGCTATGTTAGATCCTGAAGAAAAAACAAAGATTCGGGGCAGAGCTCTTAAAAGGCTCGTCAAATGATGCACAAATTTTTAAGTTTAATATTTTAATGTTTTATACATATTTGACAGTATCATTTTACTGAGAAATGGGAGGAAAACTTTCAGAAATGTATGTCAATTATGCTTTCTGAAACACTGCTAAAATCTCCCACTCCTATATCTTTACCGTTCAATGATTTTCAAGACTGTCAGTGACTTCGGTGGGCATGGAATTAACCTCATAAATTTTTGTCATGTCATTGCATGACATTCTGTTAAAGTAATTATGCTTTATTTGTAATTGAATACCCTGGAGAATTAATCTGTCTCATAGCTGATGAAGTGGCAATTTCAGTTTGATCTGGAAGCTATATGTCCTAAAATGAAGGAAGCTGTTGGCAAGGCATTCTCAATTCTAGGTCAGCTCTGGGCTTGAGTGTACAGTGTTGAACTAGATCTATTTCTCTTTCATTATATTGAGAAATATTACATGCTGATATGCTGCACCATAAAAGTTTTATTAGCCCAAGTTTATGAATCTCCATTACTCTGCAGTAACAATGTCACAAATATGTTGCATGGGTCATCTGAAACTACAGCACTGTCAAGAATTCTGTGTATTTGCTGCAGAGTTGAGGAGAAATGTTACTGAAGTTTTAAAACCTCTACTGAAACTTTTTCATATGACTTCACTGATAGGACAGGCTTATTAGGCTAGTTTTGCAGTCTCAAGGAAGCACTAGAAACCTTGAAAAAATAGTTTTTTCTGTGTATGTATGAATGCTGTAATTTTTTTCCTGTGATTTGTTGCCACTAGATCAGAAGCAGGGAAAAATTTCTTCTTCAGAACTGCCATTTCTTCTCATCAGTTCAGTGTGAGGCTAGGTATGTTTGTGGACAAGATATTAATTGAAAATTACTAGATGTACAGGAACTACATCTGGCTCCAGAAATTCCTGAACTGAAAATAGCTGGAGGCAGGGAGAGTATCTTGCATCACTAGGTATCTATTTATGGCTCTTCTTGGAGAAAAGATACAGAGCCAGTCAAATGATTTGGTCTAACTCAGTGCAGCCGTTCTTTGATTCTGATTCTGTATGTCATCCAGATAAGTGGGTCTTAAAGCAATGATGTTTCTGTTCAGAGAACAAGTTACTGATTCACAACTGATTTTTTTCAATTTGCTGGGTGGGTTTGACTGGGGTTTTCTGCTGAGTTTGTTTGGATGGGGAAAAGCTCTAGTTTGGGGAATGTATTTTGTTGAAAGTGTTGGAACTTCCAAGGTAGATGTCAGTTTTATGAATAATGAATTCTAGATCACTTTGTCAAGAGTACTTGCAAATGATTCTACAGTATATCTAGACATTGCTTAACATTTCTATGTTTATAGTTCTCATATACAAACACAAAAAAACCAAAAGCCCCACCCCACCCAACATGGCTAGGGCTTATAAAGTTAAACATACCATGGAGGTTTTTTGTCCTTTTTTTTTTTTTTTTTTTAATTTTTTTTATTATTATTTTAAGAGTTGAGGGGAAAGAGCAGAACTGCCGATGCATATGCAAGAAATGACAGCACTCAGGATATTGGAAAGAGTTTATAGGCACCGGAAGTTTGTTCTAATAAATACTTATTCGTCAGTCTGTTTCCTGTACTTGTGACTTCCTCTTCTCACCTCAGCGTTGCCTCCACTTCCATGCTGACATCTGGCACTAGTTCAAGGTTTTGTCAGTCCCACTTTTTTATTGAATTGTCAATTTCTTTTTTTTTTTAGAAGATTTTAGCCCTCCTTTTAAACTGCCAGCCTCTTTGCCCAACCAGTCAGACTTCTTCCCCAGCATGCCTCCATGACTGGGCTTTGTGTGGATCAAAGCTCTTTGTGTTGCCTGGAGACTGGCTTTCTCATATGGGTGCCAGTGCTGCCCTTAAGCGTATTGTACCACACAGTAGGTCTGCCCAAAAACATATTCATCCACTCTGTACGAATGACATGTGCACGGTCTTGTTGATATTAGAAGCTGGGAAGGATGCAAGAATTCTCGGTAAAGGTAGACCCTTGGTGCATGTACGTTGTGTTAAGTTCAAGTTTTGTGGTTTTACATACTGAGATTTCTTTCCCAAGGCTTATGTCATTGTCAGATCTGGGTGGATTGCCATGTGCATGGTAAGATGCACATCTCTGTTAAAGATTTACCGTCAGAATTCAAGTTTATAGAGCACAGAACTTTCTGTTGCAGATTTCTGGCCTCGTTCTGTGCAGCTGGACCACCTTAACTGAAAATTTCAAAAAATAATCAGTTTAAGCCAGACAAATTTCAGTGTGGCAAAACTAGAGGCAATCAAAAAAAAAGGACTGAAGGGAAAGGAACAATATCAGTAATGTGGTAGAAGTATATTGCAGGCAACCTGAAAACATCAACATTGCCTGCACTACTTTCCCTGCTGTGTACTTACAGAACTATCTACAGTACAGTATATATTCCATATATATATATATGTATTTAGTACATGTGTATACTGTTGTAAAGATTTCTGGTTCTTTCTGTCTCATGTTGTTTATCAGGCCTTCAAAACTATGAAACTGAAAAAATACCCCTATGTGAATCTTTAAGCCTGTAGACATAGATGCACATTGGCATTCTTCTGAAATTTAAATCTTAATATAAGGAACTCGGAGCCCTCAAGTGAGTTATGAGCCACTTATTGAGTGAGTGGGAATGAGTATCATATTTCACAGAGGCTTATCGCTATTCCATTTATACCTCAAGAGATTGAATTCATATGTCTCAAAATTCAGTTATTTATAACACTAGAGAGTTTGCCAATTGTTTGCATGTAAACATATTGCACTTTACAATAAAAAAGAGAATAAAAGTAATTGAAATCAAGCAAAAAATTAAGAAAGTTGAAATTATTCTTCCTGAGATTATATGCATAATAACGTATGCTACAAAGGAAGATATGAACAGAAACACTGTTAGTAAATTAGCATATGGCAGTGGTATGCTTTGATCTATGTTTGATCGGGAACAAAAATGAAAACTAAGTATTCAATCTTTTATTAATTTTTTACTTGCAGGCAAACCAGTGTGAAGGATATAGCATGGAATAAAAAGCACAGAGGTCTTTAAATTTAAAAATGAGAACATCCAAAAATATGGATGGTTAAATATATGGCATTGGCTTTTAGGCTTCATGCTATAGAGAAAGGCTTTTAAAATAGTTTTTTCTCTTTTTAACCACTGCAGTTCATCTGGAGGGGGGGGGTTTCAGTGCCGTTCATGATCACTGTCTAAACACAGGAAGGATTACCTTTATGAAACTTTCATTCATTTTAATAACTACTTTTTATAAAAGCTAAAACTAGTCTTGCCATTCTTACTATTTGGATGGGTTTACATGCCACCTTGATTTCTTTTTTTAGACAACTTGTAATTAAAAAGCAATTGTTGCAATTGGACAGGAAAATACACCTGAGATTTTTGGGACTCTTGTGACTTCAGTAGTTCTGTTTATAAGACAAAGATAAAGTATTGTGCAGCTGTTATTGACACTCTCAAGCTTCAGCAAGACTGCAAATGGGAATTAATTGGATTCCTTGTGAAAACAAAATTCCTGGGCTTTTGTCTGAGTTTGTAAATGTAATTTCCTTAATAAACCCATGGATAGATGTTTTGGCCTTTTTTAAAAACTTGCAACACACTTGAGATTATCCCCATCTGAAAATGCAGTCTCAGAGGTAGTACCTGAAGAGTAGTTTAATAATTCTTATAATGGTAAAAGTCACAACTTTGGATCCACATCTTCAAAGTGATTCCTAGTCATCATTGCTATCATGCTGCATTCCTGTTGGGTTTTTTGTTTCGTTTTGTTTTTTTCCCGTGATGGTGGTGGCGTGGCATGGTTTAACCTCAGCCGGCAACTAAGCACCACGCAGCCGCTCGCTCACCTCCCTCACAGTGGGATGGCAGGGGGAAAATCAGAAGGGTAAAAGTGAGAAAACTCGTGGGCTGAGATAAAGACAGTTTAATAGGTAAAGCAAAAGCCGTGCGCGCAAGCAAAGCAAAACAAGGGATTCATTCATGACTTCCCATGGGCAGGCAGGTGTTCAGCCATCTCCAGGAAAGCAGGGCTCCATCACGGTTACTTAGGAAGACAAACACCATCACTCCAAATGTCCCCCCACCTCCTCCTCTTCCCCCAGCTTTGTATGCTGAGCATGACGTCATACGGTCTGGAATACCACTTGGGTCAGTTGGGGTCAGCTGTCCTGGCTGTGTCCCTTCCCCACTCCTTGTGCCCCCCCAGCCTCCTCGCTGGTGGGGTGGGGTGAGGAGCAGAAAAGCCCTTGGCTCTGGGTGAGCACTGCTCAGCAGTAACCAAAACATCCCTGTGTTATCAACACTGTTTCCAGCACAAATCCGAAACACGGCCCTGTACTAGCTACTGTGAAGAAAAGTAACTCTATCCCAGCCAAAACCAGCACATTGTGATAGTGGGGAGATGGGAGGAAAGAGATTGTGGAGCTACCTGTGTGCATTAGGTTCTCACAGACAAATGTGAATTTTTGGATGCAATAGATTGAGTGCAAATTTAAGCACTGTTCTCGGAAAACCATCCTTTGATAACTTCTTAGGAAGTAGCTATGAAAAGGTAAAATAGAGAAAAGAGCCTTTTGCATCTGGGGCATCATCATTTGAAATGTCCCGGTAAAAAGTATCAGCCTGTTTCCTAGTGAACAGAGGGCACTAAAAAAAAAAAAAACCCAAACAAAAAAAAAAAACCACCCCCAAAACAAACCAAAAACCCAAACAACCCCAAATGATCATCTGTTTTGGCAGGTTTCTGTTTAAGAGCAGACCTGAATTAGCCCTTGATTTCTTTAGCTCTCCCTGACATCTGAAGATTGTAATTTCCTGTCTTGTTAATGGAAGATGATTGGTGCCATGTATCTACTTTGTGGATGTCAGAGACTGTCAATATTATTGACAAAACTGATTTCATTAATTAGAACAATCTCAGCAAAAGAGGAGGAAAATAGGAAAGCATTACAACATATTTTAATCAAGTAATATAATAAAGCCCAGAGACTGGGTATAAGTTGATCATAGGCACAGGACTTGGAGATGCTTTTTTTTTGTAGTGGACAATAGTTAAGTCTGTGTGGTGAGAATTCTCAAGCTGTAAAATGTGTGTAAAGGTGCTTGAACATTGAGGTATTTTGGGTGTTAGTAGTAAAGAAAAATTGCTGTTATTTATATGCCATAGCTACCAAGCATCTATTAAGCTTATTTCATAACAGTAATTCAGAATTTAGTTTTTGTAAGTAAAATCACTAATAAATAGATGCAAAATGACTCTAAAATGGCTTCCAGTTTCTTATTGAAGACTAATGATTAAAGAGATCTCAGTGGGGTGATGGGAATAGAAAACAATACATCTGCAATTACTTAAACATGATTATTTACAACATTCCTTTCTTTATCAGTTGCCAACAACTGTTTTATTGCAGATATCTTTGAATCTGTGGTCTTGTTTTAGGCCTTTCCTAAAGGACTTCTGTTAAAAAACAGTTTGATTAGATAGACAAGATAGTTTGTGTATCTTCAATAACTTCATCCGTGTTTTTCATTCGCTATAAACCAGCCTACATAGGCAATAATTGTGACAGTGAGTTGTGAAGCTGAAATTTCTATTAGTAGATATCGTTTTGACAGCAACAGTTTCCTCGCAGCACACATGGGAAATGCATTCCTTTGAGTTATAGACCATTCAGTGGCGGATCAATGGGAGCCTACTCTAAGGCAGCTTTATCCAGAAGGCTGATAGAAAGCTACTGTTGGAGGATTTGGATGGCTGTTCAAAGTCATTCTGAGTTAGGAAGCAGTGGATGTGTGTGTTAAATGACAATCATTTGTCTCTAAGTGAGCTTATCAACGTAGTCAAACAAAACTTTTCTTTCTCAGCTTTTTTCCCCATTTGCGCTTTCTGGAAAATTAGTCTAGTAGGGGAAACAAAAAAAAAAAAAAAAGAGGGAAAGGAGAGAGTGGAAATTTCCCAGCTGTATTATAGAACATCATTGTAAGATCTGAATGGAAACATAGCCAACATTTGAGAGCTTTAAGATAAAAATCATGGTGGGTTTTAAGCATAACTTTCCAAGACACCAAGTAATGTGATTTTCCAATGTGAAGTTACAACAGTGATCTGAGAACAGTGCATGTAACATATTTACCTGATTGTTATATTTATTTCTATGTAGTGGCAGTCTCTTCACCATGTCAATGATCTAGTTGACTCTAAAATGGCGTCGTCTTGACCATGTCAATGGTCAAGTTTCTTTTAATGTACATGCACACCATCTATTTGTACTAATGACTTCTGTGTGTGCGTATCATGGAGAAGATGCATCAGATACAGCTAAATTCTGAGGCATGCTTCGCTTGTCCCATGCAATTTATTAGCAATGTGAGTGATTCTAAGATGGTAAACGGTGGCGTTGACTGTGAGTTCATTGTTGATTTGTGCATTATGTTTTTTCTAACTGTATCTTAAGTGTAAGAATAGAGAGCATAATTTACATTCTCACTACACTGAAATGCTAAATTCACAGGATACCTACTGTGAGGGTAAAATGTGATTTATCTACTGTACTAGTAATACTTTGTCATCCACATACTGCTATAATAAATTAAATAAAAATTGGATGTTTTTAATAGAATTTTAATGGTTCTGAAATTAATTCTGGAAGCAAGGGGGGAAATAACGTATTATTTTTGGATGAAACTGTTGTCATAAATTTTCAAAGAGTCATATAACCACAGTAAAGCAATGATATAATTTTTCCTCTCTGCAGTGTTAAAAAACCCAATCTGTAAGTTGTATAGATTCCCTACTTCTGACAACAAGTGGATGCGGATCCGGGAACAGATGGCTGAGACTACCCTCTCTTTCCATGTTCCTAAAGAACTGATCAATCTGCACATAAAGGAGGATATGAGAAGGTAAGGAAGAAGAAGTAGCAATAGTAAATACTAAATTTTATTTTTCTGAGTTGGAATAATGTGATGAGCTAAAAATATTAATGTGTAGTATGAAATAGGCAAAATATAGCGATCTTTTGGGCTGCTAAGAATTTACAGCTGTAACTGAACAACAGAATTGATTGCTCAGAATTTTTAGGACTCCAGTGACTTCATAAGTTCTGAGCAATGAACTGTGCTAGAGTGCAGTCGTGACTTTAAATGTGTAAGCATCCACATTTGGTTAACAATGTAAATATTCTGAAAAGTTCATATTTTATAAAGGAAGAACATGTGACAAGGGTGTGAACTACATTGTAGCGTGTTTGGCTTTGTGTCTGGGCAGTGCTAATATTGCAGACAAACAAGATGCAAGCAGTGGAAAATGACATGTTTGTAGTTAATAAAGAAGCAATGAGAAAATAAATCACATTCCTCTAATGTAAATTAGTTGGCATAAGAAAAGGAAACCTTTGTTCATGTTTGGCCTTGTAACCAGGAGGGACATCTGAGGATCATTACAATATGGATGGCCTGGGGAAAAAGAGGATAGGGAGCACAAGTGTCCCCAAGTCCTTTGTGTGTCCGAATTCCCACTGCAGCGACTGAAATGGCAGCCTGCCCTTTGAATACTTGTGAGCCATGCTGATACAACTGTGGAAAAAAGCAATATTTTAAGCAGTCCTAGGCTTCCCTGAAAGCATACCTTCTTTTTCCAATGATAATGGATTGTGTAGAAGAAGGTACTGCCTCTTTCCCCATGCAAGTTGCCTCACACATGGGTGGGCATCTGGTCTTACGTAAGAGTAACACTGTGATCTAGTGCTGCATCCCAAAGCCGTCCTGTGCACTTTCAGGCAACTCCTCCATCAGAAGGGGTTGCCTGTGGTTGTTTACAGTGGTTGGTTGTCCTGCAATAGGAGCTTCTTTTCTTTTTTCATTCACCCCATCTGCTGCTTCTGTATGATTTTTTTTATGCCAATAGAACAGCATGTGGGAGACCAGAATCTTGCTTTTAATAAAGTCAATGGACTGATACGTACTTACGCATGGTGATGATGGGTTATAAAAATCATATGAATTGTTATAATACTTTATTTTATTCATTTAATACTGTGTTTAGGCATTTATGGCCTGATCCTGTTTGAGAATACTAATGTGTAAGGTTTTTTTAGTAAGCAATAAAAATAGATTATGCTGACTTGCACAGTTCATCCACTTCCCAGATTTTCATTTGCCCCATGGGCAAATGCCTTTTAAATGTTAGAGGATTACTTTAACCACTTTTACTACTACTGCGTTATTCTCTGCAAAGGCATAATGCAAGTAATAGCACTTGCTGTTATTTCTTATTATAGCATTCACCTCCTTGGATAAAGTCATAGTAAAGAATCACCATGGATTGGTTTTTTTAACAATTATTTGATACTTACCAAAATGAAGAAAAGCTTTAAGGAAGAAACAGAAGTAAAAGTTGCTCAAAGATTGGGGAAAGTGGTTCTGATTTTCCTGATTGCCAACATGGTTAGCTGTTCAAGCCTAGTAAGAAAGTGTGGGTGTGAGAGAAACAAAGTGATTGTATCAGTCTGAGGGAGGGCGGTAAGACCAACCAAGAGGAGGAACAACTTGTGGTAGAATACTAGCAGATGGTGGGAATGGGGCATCTGTGTCACCTGTCATCATCGTATGAGCGTGTGGGTTGGAGCTTCAGCTTTGTATGGGCTTTACTTTTTGAAATAATTGCAAAGATGTGTGCTTTTGCAGACTCTTTGCATTTGTAAACTAGCAAAATGATGTTAGGAGGATATTGTTACGTTAGTTTTTGAACTCATACGAAATTTACACTGTACTATCTTTAGGCTATTCTCTTCTGAAGTATTCTTCTCTGCATCTTTTTTCCCCAGTTAGTATAAAAGAATAAACATTTTTGTCTTGGAGGCCACTTCTTACCATCCTCAGCCTGTTTCATTTTATTCCTATTGTGGCTTCGGTATAGTCGGGTCTGAAGCAATTACCTATACAAAATATCCAAGTGAAGTGTTAATCCCATTCAGTATTGTATTTTAAATTATAATTTAAATTCCCTTTTCTCATAGCTCTTCAAGATTATTTCTCTCTTGATAAAACTACAGTGTTCATTGTTAAACAAACTTTTTCATTTACTGACATGGTACTCTGAAATATGTAACCTCTAAGGATGTTTAACTTTGTTTTTCAGCGTGAAATAATGTTTTTAAAGATATGCATGCATTAAAGATTTTATCCTTCAAGCCTCCCTGGAAGAAGTTTAATAGGAGCTATGTGGTCATTTTTATTGTTCTAATAAGGGTCATACAGTCTGCTTTGCTGGTTTTTATTAAGAAATTATTTGTTTCCCTTCTTGAGGTTTTCCAATAAGTCCTTTCCCCTGTTTTCAACATGGCTTTACACAAATCTTGTCCAGATATTTTGCTTCTATCATGTAAGATTAGCCAAGTAGTTTTTCGTACCTAATGATTACAAAAAAGACTTAGTAGTTTACAATAATGGTTCCGAAAGTTGGTTGACCCATATAATCTAAGCTTGCAGTTGTAGATAACTTGTAACTTGTGGCGCACTAGATCAGCACAGCAAGAGAATTAGGAGAGTCTGGTAGAAGCTGTGGTACACATGTCTTTCAGATTTGCCAGTAAAGCTCTTTTGCGTCCCTTGGAACCAAATTTGGCTTTGGCTGAAAGAAAATTCCACCTACTTAGGCTGAATTTGGCGCATGGCATTTGTGGTCACAACCCATAAACAAATTTCAAGGATAGATGCTGAACTTTCCTTGAACCCTCTCTCCAGACTACAAAGCACGCTCAAGCTTTCCTCCTGCATCAGGAATGGCTGACCTGTCCCAACTCCAGTAGCCTTTTCTTGTGAAAAATCTATGCTGTTTGTCTGTTTTCTAATTTCTTTCTCATAACATTACAGAATGAGGACAAAGTTCAGACTGTCTGAAAGATGTATGTTTTTCTACTACCTTTTAATACACAATTTCTAGAGAGAAATGGAGACTCAGGCAGAAATGCCATGTGTTGGGAGCAGGCATTGATTTTTCTGGACCTTTGCATGTTATTTTTAACATGACTTATTTTTGAGCACTGCGGAAACATCGTATTGGTAAGAGGTAATAACATTTAAAAAGTTATTCTGAGTAAACTTACCATGACTTTTGAAGCTAGCTGAATCAACCACATTTAGATGGGCACTGTTAATATGCTATCCACTTAAGGACTTTTAAAACCTTACTTCAAGTAACTACCTAGCATAAATGTTCAAAGTAGTAATTTTTTCAACTCTTAAAAAATCCCCAAATGTGTCAGTAAAATGTAGCTCAAATACAGGCATATGCAAAATTTACCCCATTGTGCATCAGACAAGATGTAAAACCTTTATCTTCTTATTCTCCATCAGTTACTGCATAGAGAAATAAAAGTATATGAATGTAAGTGTAACTAGATTTTTGTGAGTAGTGTTTAGACAATTGCCCTCCTCAAACACGATCAGTGTATTAACCATTAATTTATAAACTAAAGGATAAAATATGTTGTTAATGTATGAACACTACATAATTCTCTGTCCTCTTGATTTCACTGTTCATAGCTGATTTTGGAAAAGATGGCCTTGCTGAAAGTCTAACGGGAGTTTTCGTATCAGACTTAATGAAGTAAAATTTGCTGGACTTCACTTTGTTATTGGGTGTTTAAAGTTGTAGTGCATTGGAATGGAGTAACATTAGCTGCTTTGTTTTCTGATAGTTATCTCTACATAACATTACCTATTATTCAGCAGTGCTGAAAGCTGTAAAATGTTAACTTACATTCTGACTGTCCTGTCAAAGAGGGGTTTTTGTTGTTTTCTGCAAAATCCACCCATGTTCGAAGACTCCAGAAAATCATTCTGTACCAGTCAGCAATGCTTCTCAGAGACTGGCTGCTAAAATTTCCGGATGTTATATTTGTGCATGGCATGCCCCAGTCTTAAAGTCCACATTGAGCAAATGATATAACTTGTCGGTCTTATTAGAGCCCCCCACGTTATAGTGAGGGACAATACAAAACCAAAGCAAAAAATAATCTTTCTCCCAAGCTTATAATTATTTTAACACACTCAAATTCTGTCATCACAAAAAGCATTTGAATTTTTACGTTATTAACTAGAGATTTTGCACTTACCATTACTTATCTGTGGTTCTAATAGCACTAAGTTGGGTGTATTTTGTCGGTTCATGTCAGTGGGGCTGCAGAGAGTATAAATTAGAGGCGTAAAGGCATTAAGGTGATTAAAAAAGCTTTGTACAGTTTTATTATGTTGCTCGTGTCATAAAGCTTCTCACTGTATTTTGAATGAGGCACTCTGATTAATAAATTGGGGAAGAAAGAAAACAGAAACCCACAAAACTGTTTAAATGCTTGAGTAATCATGCAGTTAATAATGTGATTAATCTTGCCACGTATATGCTTCCAAGATGAAAGAAAGAAATGAAGTTATAAACTATGAGAATAAAATGGTTTTGCTTATATCATAGAGCTGAAGCAACATTGTCTTAAGCTGGTGCCAGTGTTTCCTGATGAAACAGTAAAATTTAAAAACCAAACAAACAAAAAACCATGTAAAAAATTCTATAAACCATTACTAGTTACTAAAATATAATTTAGGATTAAAATGTAAATTCCACAGATGCCATTCTAAGTATTACTGAATTTGAGTTTCTTTGCAATCATGTGATGCGGGAGAATTCTCCTGTGCTATTAAATGCGAATCGTAGAATTAATCTCAAATGATCATGCTGTTTGAAGATCTTGAGTCTTTCAGAGATAAACCCAGGTAATAAAATATCCAAGGAAGGGAAAGAGTCTTAAGGCAGGAAGGAAGATATGGGTTTAATTTAGCTTATATATTGTCTACAATTTTGGATAGTAAAAGGGGATGGTGGTGGTTAGAAATGCGAAAGGAACTTA